TCTGCTCTGAAGCATCTTCCCAACTCGTTACTGGATGAGCTCTTTGCAGAAGTTCTCAGAGATCTGTTGGCTGAGGTCTTCAGAAGTGCCATGAAGGATTTTGTTGATGACTACCTAACCAGGGCTGCCATTTCTGACAGCATAGATGGAATAGTAACCGAGGTGGTTCAGATGGTCTTGTCTGCATTTGTGAGTAAAATGCATCTCATTTATTTTTATATATAAAATAAAAAAATACACACACGTGCACAAACAGGTTTTGATTTTGGAGCTGGTGGAGGATGCTGGACTAAAAGCCCTGGAGCATGAAGCTTTCCAAGTATCTAAAGAACAGCTATAACTACCAGTGGCAAGGCAAACTTCCTCACTAATGTCTCAGGACTCTCTTGGGGGGGTAACACCTCTAATGCTGAGGTGCCCATTTGGTCCTTAACCTCTTGCATGAGCCTGCCAGGTCATGCCACATAGACTTCTGGCCATTCCTAACTGGACTTGGAACCAATGGCTTGGGTCATCGAGGCCACTGACCAGCCATCAGTGACTTCTGGTCAGTAACCAGCTGGACTGGATATCTTGTCCCATAGTTATCATAGCCTACCAAGCAAAAGTGCTGTCTAATCGCTTCAGATGTAAATAGAATGTTTTCTTCTGTCGGCTCAGCTCAGGGAGGCTCTCCAAGAGATGGAATATGAGGCTATTCTCCAAGAGGTCATTTCACATGTCGTCGAGGAGGATGCTAAAGCCTTGGCTCAATCAGTCCTCCGTGACTACGATGCCGAGATGATAAAGCTGCAGCAAAGCCAGGTACTGTTGAAGCATGTGACAGCATGGGTTATTCCATGTCAGAAATTAATTCCAGTGTCCTGGTGAGAAACCTGCATGGGCCATCAGTCATGACAGCCAGTCACCATCTGGTACAATTGAAAAGCCAAGTTCAGTGTACAGTACATCCAGAACGGTTCAGTAGGAAGAGATTTTTAAATGGACAGTCAGACTAACTTTATAATCAAGAGAATGCATAAATCTGAAACTAAGAGTACCAGACCATGATCATTAAGAGGCATCATCCCAGTCTGGCTTCATTAAGTTATTGGAATAACTAAGTCTTGAACATAGGTTTTGTTAGATGTAATAGAGAACATGCTCACACACCAACGTTTTCAAACCTGGGGCCTGAAGTTAAGCTCCCAAATAAGTGGCCTGATTTTCCCCCACAAGTCCCCCAAATGCCTAACTAAGCTACAGACACCCATTGTTCAGACACATAGCAAGGGAGCACCCTGAAGAGTTTGCAACTTCAGTGGACGAGACAGACAATTGGAGAAACTGAGGCACAAATTGTGATTTGCCCTAGGGCCAAACATGGAGGCAACGGCAGGGCTAGGAATAGAATAGAGACCTCCTGACTTGTGGCCCTGTTTTGTGTTAAGTCATGATCATGTTTTATCTCATGAAAGTGAGATCATGCATTGTCATGTCATGTTACATTTTAGATTGACCATTACAGCCTCAATGCCTCATTACCCAACAGTGGACAAGAGTAATAGGGCTTGTCCCAGAGGGAAGGGGAGGACAGGAAGTAAAAGTTCATTTTTTAACACCATTGAGCCATTTATCCATCTGGCTGCACAGTGCAAGTCTCTTCCCACAAACCTGTGTTGGATCTTGCAAGATGCCAATGAAAAGCCCCCTGGACCAAATACACCCTGGTAAAACTACACTGGCTTCCATGGGGATGAACGTGAGCCAGGGTCTGTATATCTATACTAGCAAAGATGTTACAGATTAATGACTTGCTTGTTTATCGTGGGCAACTCAACCCTCCTGTTCTCCCCTGCCTCGTCCCATTCTGCAGCACATCTCCTCTGCCTTCACACTTTCCTCTTCACTCATCACCTCTGAACTAACCCTATCCTTGCCCCCTGAAAAACTGTGGCACTAACATGACATTTGCACTGTTACATAGGTCACTGGCTGTGCATTATCCCCCTCTTCCCCTGCCCTGTCTCTCATCTGTTTAGATTGGAAGCTGTCTGGCACAGGGACCATCTACTGTGTTCGTACAGTGCCTAGCACAATGGGGCTTGGAGCTTAGTTGGACTTGAGGCACTACTCTGAATAAACATGATTAGTAATAAGACATACAAGCATCCTCAGCAAAGCAATAGTGGGCAGCAAGTGGGGTTTCCTATTGATTCCTTCATTTCCTGTGGGGGCGGAGACCAGCAAAAAGTGACTTTACTGCCAGTTACACAGAACCCAGACGCCACCCTTAGAAATAAAAACCACCTCGCTAGCGAGGAGGTGGGAAAGCACAGCATGAAAAGCTCTTTGGCTGGGCACTAAGATACAAACAGGATTTGATACGCTGATCGGGGCGGTGAGGTATACATTACACTGTTTCCTATGGCAGGAACCTTAGTGCATATTGTCCTGGATGGTGTGTATCTGAATAGACCCCTTACAGCATACAGGAAGCTTGTTTGGGGAGATTACACAGGCAGAAAGAAGAAACTTACACAGCCCTTTCATATGCAAATGCATGTAGATGGCTCTGCATTACACTTAAAAATAGGAATGGCTTTCCAGGTAATTAGAGCTTGAAGGACAGAGCCCGGGCTGAATGTTGGGCCATGCAAGTGAGCCACATTTCTAAGCAGTGAGGAGATGGGCTTGCTCGGCACAGCAAGTAGAGTGGAACAAACACCCCTCATTGCTCTCCAAGAGATTACAGGGAATTGTATTAGTTTGACAATTAATATTAATTGGAATTGCAGCTTTAAGACAAAGCGTGAGCAGGGGGGAGTTTTTCTGCAGAGACGCAGTCTCTTTACCGAATTAGCCCTTAGAACAGCAAGTGCAGGCATCCTCATTCTAGCCTCACAATAGCTGTGTGCTAGGCAGCAGCTTGACCTGCTTATCAACCTAATGTCCCTTCTCCTTGCCAGTTCCCTTCCTCTTCCCACATCTCTCCTCCGCTGGCCCCAATCTGCCTCCCTGAGGTGCTATTTCCTTGTAGATACTTGGTGCTTAGAGGCCCCAGCTGAGATTCTGGGCCTGTTGTACTCAGCACTGTACAAACAGTCCCTGCCTCGAAGATGTTGCAGTTTGAATCCACCAGACAAAGGGTGGAGACAGGACAGGCTGCTACCCCCATTTTTACAGATGGGGAATTAAGGCCTGGAGAGATCTGGTGGAGTCTGTAGCAGAGGTGGGAATTGGGTTTTCTGCCACAGGAGAGGAAGAGCATGATGAGACTTCCTCCAGTGAACTCTTGAACTGGCCTGGAGGAGACAGGGCAGTTCAAAACTAGCTCCGCTCCCAGACTAGAGCCCTCTTCTACAGCACAACTTGGAAGCCCTCAAATACACTAGGATTCCAGAGGGTGAGCCACCTGGGAATGGGCTTGATATTTTTGTAAAGGTTAAAGTGATCCTCTGCCTACCAAGCCATGCATGAGCTGCTTACCTTTGGTGCTCCCTGCTCTGCATGCCCTTTAGAGGAAATTTCCAATAGTTGAACAAATCTGTATGCTCCAGTTGCCTTTAGTGACTAGAAGACAAACTGCTGAGCATGGTTCTCACTTCAGGGATCATGCGAACATTTGCTCTGGTGGTTGAGTCATAGATGTTAAAAGCCAGAAGGGGCTGTCATGGTCTTTCTGTAGCGGGGCTAGCAGACCTCCCCTGCTCACTTCCCCACAAAGCCCATAACTTCTGTTTTTAGCCTGGGTTTCAAAGGCTGCAATCATTACTGCCCCCTCTGCAGTCAGTAAGTAAATGACACTCTGGGCCTTTGGTGCTGGGCTGATGCACTTTGTCCCACCCCTCCCACAGCTGACCCAGCTTTAGTTATGATTGGGCCCCCAACTGATTAGCTGTATTGTCCATGTCTGAGCTAGGGACTCAGAATTACACCAGGGCTGCTCACATTTCTAGCAAATGGGAGAGCATGGGACAGCTCTTCAGGAGAGCTTTGTGGCATCCAGTGATATGGTTTAACCTGCTGGTGGAAAATTCCGTTACTGTGGGGCAGCTTGTCTCCCACCCCTCAGTGGCACAGAGCAGCTGTAGTGGATCTTTTTGCCAAGCCTTCTCCAGGGCCCTGCTTAGCTGGTGTCTCCAGGGGCAAGGGGGCTGTCTGGGTGGGGCATGTCTGCACTCCTGTTAGCTTTTCAGTGCTACACACAGCTGGGAGGAGAGGCAATTCTGTTTCATGGAGGAGTTCAATATTTTGATTATTGGGGTTTGTTCTGAAATTGGAACAAACCCTAAATTTGAACATCCTCCATGAAAAGAATGGAACCCTGGCTCCAGGGCAATTGAATCTACAAGGCAGGCTGCTCTGGCGCTGTGGGCCCTGAGGTCCTGACTCCAAAGCAGTCCAGATGGCAAACTGACTCCCAGGACTGCCCATCAGCTCACCAGGCAGGCTGGCAAGGAGTCACAGGCCTGGTCTCTCAGTTTCCAGTCTCTCTACCAAGGCAGAAACAAGGTAGGTTTCTGATGCAACCTCATCAAAAATCAGTGTCTCCCTGAAACATTTTGACGGGGGGGAGGGGGGGAGGAGAGTCATATTTGGAATTTTGTCCATAAAAGTGGTCCCAAGGCTGCTACAGCTTCCCCCAGGGATCAGCCCCAGAATTGGGACCACTGCATGCATGGCATTAGGAGGGTGTTGCAGGCTTGCCACCATGCTCAGTGGCTGAACTCAAAAGGTGTTAATCCAGGGAGCCTGATGCTTTTGCAAGCAACTTCAGACAAGCTCTGGGCAGCCCTTTTAGGCCAAGTCAGTGCTCTGTAACCTTTTCTGTTTACATGCATGTGAGCACAGCAGGCAGAATGGGCAGTTGTCTCCAGGAGCAGCAAGAAAGGTTATGAACAGCTGCCACAAAACTGTTCCTTTGGAAAAGTAATTAAGGTGTCTCTTCTTTCACAGATCACAGCATTTGCTAGCAAACAACTTATTGACCTCTTTCTTCTGGAGCACTTGATCGGAATGACTAGTATGTATCCCCCTGGATTTTGGGGGAAGGAGCACTCCAGTGTGGTTTTACTCAGTGAGTATTGAGCAGCTGAGAAGGAGCAATTTCTGCAACTTCTTAAACCATCCTACATGGTGCTTATTTAACACCTTCAATGTGAGCCTCCAACATGCAGTTTGAAGACCGCTAGCCTTGCACCACCTCTATGACGTGGGCAAGTATTGTTACCTCCTCAAGGGAGGCAGCATGACCTAGTGGATAGGGCACTGCCTCAGTTTCCCCCATACAGTGAGATCTACAGATAACAGGTGCAATCTATGAGCTAATAGTATCAGACAGCAGCTCTGGGCCTGACCCTTTAATATAGCTGGATGGCAAGGTGCCTGATTAACAAATAACTTGCAGTAGGGTTAAGTGACTTGGCCAGGGTCACACAGCAGGTCAGTAGCAGAGTTGGGGGAGGGAGGAGAAATATTGTAATCCCCCAGCTCTAACCACTACATAACTCCTATAACTTAAAACTGCAGGGGTACTTCTCTCCGCTGTCCCTTCCATGTAATCCTTTGGTCTGAACTTCCCATTTACTAGTCTTTGGAAGAACATCACTAAAAAAGGAAACCGGGAGGGTGTGTACATTAGTGGCTAGAGGAAGTAAACAGGACATCTGGTTCTATTCCCTGCTCTGGTCAGTGGCTCACTGTCACCGTGGGCAGATTACGTCATCTGTATCCATAACACTACTTTCATTTTGCACTAGCACCCAAGTGGGGTGCAGTATAGTAGGTAAAATGTGCCTCAAACTTTTTCCAGTTGAAGGGCTCGGCGTCAGTATAGGAGCTAGGCTAACAGCCACAAGATCAGGCCCAAAAAACATGCATGGCTACAGTGCAGGAGCCACACAGGCATGGCTTATGATCATTAAACCAGAAATGCTCCATAGGGTAGAGGGCTTTTTTGAAAACTGGCACTATCTCTGTATGCTAGTCTTCTAACCACAGGGTGTTTGACACACAATTGTTTGTAGGGTGCTCAGAGGAAAGGCACTACTTAATCTGCTCTCGTGAACAATGTGAGTGCAAGACTATTGTAAGCTTCTCAGGGCAGGCCCCATCTTTCTGCTCTGTTTGTACAATGCCTAGTACAACCAGGTCCTGGTCCAAGACTAGGGCTCTTAAGCACTGCAGTAATAGAAAATGATTAATGATACCATGGCCCAATTGTCCACTTTGGTTTGTGGGAGGTTTCAGGGGCCTAACTTGTCTGGATTATGACTGCAGTGTATTGTTTGAGCCTATTAGTCACTGTACCTATCTCCCATGTCATTAACATCAGCAGAACCACTATGCTGGTTGCTTTCCTATACCTTATGTGAGAGGCATGCAGAACCAGGCCCTTAAGAGGAGGATTGGAAATGCTGGGTGTGTGTGTACACAACTAGAAAGAGTAACAGCTGCTGATTTTTCCAAGATGTGGGTCTTCCACATTGCTGCTCAAACATCTTACCTGAATCCTCTTTTCTCCCAGGTTGGATGTTTGATATTCTCATCAGGCAGTTCTTTAGCATTCAGGAGCAGCAGCGAACTACCTCTGAAAATGTTCCACTGGGAGATTTCCATCAAAAAGCTTTTACCGAGGTGGTAAGTAACCTCAAATTCTTAGACATCAACAATTGTTGTCTTGTAGCTCTCCCTGTACAGCAAGGAAAGTGGTGGGGGAACCCACCATGTACTACTGGGGTAGATGGGAGGGCTAATTAAGGATGAAGGGGCAAATGTAACAGCAAGAGATTATACAGAGCAATACTTGATGGTTTTGGTTTTCTGCTAATCCCAGCCTGCTCTCCCCCATATTAAGATAGACCACCACTAATATCTGAATGCTTTTTAACCCCTAGAGTGCTCAGTGTCTCCTCCCCATGTAGTATACTCTTGTCCTTCTCCAGAAGGTTAAATCACTCTGCAATTCAGCCCTTTATCCTTCAGAGGCAGCTATACTGAGTATCGCACAGCTAGCTGTGCGGGAGACTTTTTGTAAGTGATGCCAATCACCACGGATCCCATTTTCTCTGCACAGGCATTAAAGATCCCACAGCCCATCTCCTTGCCCAGATGTCCTGCATAATATCACTGCTCCATCCCAGGTGCTAAGTGATGGCACTTTCATGGTTTCCAGAGTACAGTCCTTAAAATGCCACCTGGCACACAAGAAGGTGGTACCTTTGCTTGACAGGAACACAGCATTATTTTGTAGAGATCACTCTGTAGATCAGGTGGAATTTTAAGGCCCAAGGGCTGCACATAATTTCAGGATGAATTCAGGCTTCTTTAGGATGGAAAAAGTTGTCAATATACATCTATTGTATCTGAAACAGCCACTAGATGGCAATATAGGAAGCAATTTTAAATTTATTGCCACATTAAAGGAACAATAGACCCTAAAATCCTTAATCTGTAGATTCTGTGCCTACTGGTTTTTATTTCTCAAGACTATACCTTCACTGTCTCAAATCTGAAGGGATATTACTTTTGTCTTGGATTACTCCAGAGAGACACAATTCTTCTGTTTAAAATCTGAAACAAAAGCTGTAGTTTGAGTCATATCTCTGAAAATTAGATCCATCTTTTCAGCATGTCAGGTCTCCTTTGTTTAGCATCTCTTACTAAAATATCTTGGTTTAAAGAAAGCATTAAGCTCCCTTTTTCTTCCAGATCAGCTCCCAACCTCCACATTTCTTTCATATTAACTCTGGGATTTCTCTTGTGTGTTTCAGGCTTTAGATGTTATCTTGACAGAACTAAGTAAACTGGCAGAGGAAGACATGGAAGATCTGCTGGAATATGAAAGAGGCGTTCAGGTAGCTGGGTGAATTTCTTACAGGCTGCGTTTTGCAGAACTAAACAGTAAATGCACCTGCCTTAACAAATGGTTATCAACAGGCCATGAACCAATTCAGGCTGGAAGTTAGAAGGTTTAACCATGGAAGGGGTGAGGTTCTGGAACAGCCTCCCAACAGGAGATGTGGGGGCAAACAACTTAAAGAGAATTGAGACAGATGGGCATATTTATGGATGCAATTGGATGAAGGAACTGCTTGGAGTGATAGGAGGCAGGGCTCAACACATGTATGTCTCCTGTTCCTAAAACTTAGGATTTGGGTTTCAGGGAGCAATCAGCAGGAGCAAGGAGGGGATATTCCAATCCCCCCCACTCCACCAGTATATTGTCTTCTCTCCTCTTCCTCTGAGGCATCCAGGTCATCGAGGGGGAGGGCCAGGGCTGTGAGGTAGCACCAAGCATTCTCAGCTGCTGGGCTGGCTAGTTCTTGCTCAGTCTAACTGATTGCTACATGTGGGGGCAGGAAGAAACTTTCCTCCAGGTCAAATTGTCAGTGACCTGGGGGGCAGTTTCACTTTCTGCAGGATGTGAGCGGGTCACTGTCCAGAATTATCAGGGTATATCTCACTTCCACACTTCCCTGCCCATGTGGGGACCTTGGCACAGGTGCACCTCAGTTTCTCCTATTCTCAACCTGTGGCTCATAGTGGCCTAGTTTCCTGTGGGCTGCAATTCTTGGCCTGGTTCCATTCTCATGGGAACACACAGCCATAGAGGTAAAGACCAGAAGAGACCACCAGCTCATCTGGTCTGGCCTGCTGTAGATCATAGGCCACCTGTACTTTAACCAAACCACTGAAATTAGACCTTCAGCTGTTTGCTATAAACATGCATGGCTACATGGGACCTTGCTTTGGTATCTGCAATGATCTAGTGTAGACATAGATCCTCATAGTAAGTTAAGACTTAATGGGCACTAACAAGGATCTCTTCCCCTACAGGAGAGGCAGCATGCCCCCTTCCAAACTCTCCTCTCACCTTCCATCCCCTCTGTAAGACACCCACTTCCATCCCAGCTGCATTCCCTTTACAACCCCTTCCCTTACTGCTGTTTCCCTCACCTCCATTTTAGGCATCCATGCCCTTTCCAGCCCCCATCTCCCCAAACAGCAGATCCCACTCTGTTCATCATAGGGGCAACACTTCTCTAGAGGGCAGGGAGCTTTTCCTGCAACAGCAGGAAAGGGATGAGGTGGGACCTGATCCTGTTTCAATCAGCTATCAGGAACCCTGCCCCTGATGTCCAGACTACTCTTCCCAACACTCCTGTCTCCTAACCCTCAAACCCTGCCCACACAGCCCTTTTGACAAGGGTTAGAACTAAATACATTGAAAACACTGGAGGAGCATCTCATTGGCAACATTTCTTGTGACTTAAACGTACACCAGTTCCTAGGTGGCTCTGTGGCTGTCCACTCCACAGGCCTCTCCAGCACTGCTAGTGTCACAGCTGTCTCCACCTTTCAGCAACACATCCCTTGCTAGCTGTAGACCATGTGCAATGTGCTAGAGGCTCCCAGGTGGAGCAGCTGTGTTGCCATAGAATTCCCTCCCACCTGCTTGGGAACAGAGGAACTTGCTCATCTCCTGGCCAGGTCCAACCCACTTCCCCCCCCTCTTCTGGAGGGAGGCAAGGATTATTTTCCCCCCTTCCCCAAAATAACAAACCACATGCAAGATAGGACCAGGCTAGAATTGCAGTGGTCATTTGACTATCACTAGAACAAGTTAGCAGTTAACCCCAGCAGTAGTACATTGTCCACAACGCATCCTGGCCCCCAACCAAAAGGAGCATAATGCCTGTTTGTCCAGTACAGCACTCTCCCCTACTAGCCCCTTAGTCCCAGGGTAACAATACCTGCCTGTGGCAGATGCTTGGCTTCAGGGCAAGCTGGTGCTAGTGTCCCTTGAATTGCTGCTTGTCTGGGCTCTTGGCGGTGTGTGCCGGCCATGCCTGTTAGGAGAGCTGCTGTGTTGCTGGTCTTGGGCCTGGTATTGGGCAGACACCCTGTCATAAACATACAGCTAAGGGTAGCCTAAAATCCCTCTACTAGTAAAGGGTTAAGAAGCTCAGATAACCTGGTTGGCACCTGACCAATAAGGGGAGAAGATGCTTTCAAATCTGTGGGGGAAGGTTTTTGCTTTGTGCTGTGTGGTCTTGTGGGAGACCAAGACCAAGCAACTAATCCAGCTCCTACTGAATGATGCATCTAAAAAGTAGAGAAATAGCAAGGAAATGCATTAGAGTATCTTAGTTTTAGCTTGTGAATTTTCCCTGTACTTAGATGAAGGTTTATCCCTGTGTTTTTGTAACTTTAAAGCTTTGCCTACAGGGAATCCTGTTTTGAATCCAACTGCCCTGTAAAATCACCTTCCATCCTGATTTTAGAGGTGCTTTTATTTTTTCTTTCTTATAAGATTCTGTTTAAGAATCTGATTGGGTTTTTAGTGTCCTGAAAACCCAAGGGTCTGGTCTGTGCTCACCTGGGTTACCTATTTGGTTGGTGTATTAGTCTCAAGCCTCCCCAGGAAAGGCTTGGAGGCAAATATTTTGGAGGGGAATATTTTGGGGGAACAAGAACTGTGGTCCTTTTCCTGAATCTTTGTCTACTCACGTGGTGGTGGTGGTGGCAGCAGTACTCTAAGGACAAGGAAGGATTTGTGACTTGGAAGTTTTTAACCAAAGCTGCTAAAATAAGCGTTGGGTCTTTCGTGCAGGTCCCCACATCTATACCTTAGAGTGGGGCAGGAACCCTGATACACCCTCTCTACCTGCTGTTGCCCAGGCTCCCTCCCCTTTGCCCAGCTAGGTCACTTTAACCACCACCAGGCCAAATTCAGACCCTTTCCCCTTCCTGTTCTTCCCCCCATCCCTGCCACAATAACCTCCTGCCCTCAGGCTTATTGTGACTGTTCCTCTCCTTCCCTCCCCCCGGGATCTAGCTAGGACCCAGGCACTCAGCCCTCCCTTGGGATATTCCCCTGAGACACAGGTGGTGGCTGGCTCAGGCTTATTCCCTCCCTGAGCCTTGATTTTTTTTTTTTTTTTTTTTTTGTGCCTCTCTGCTTGTGGCTCTCCTTTGCCTTCCCAGAACGGTTTGTCAGGCCCTGCTGCAGCCATACAGGCCCTAACAGCCAGTCAGGCTGGGGCTGAAGCCAAGCATGCTCTGCTGGTCCCTTTTTAATACCCTCTTAACTACCTGATTAGTCAAGAAGCAACCAGATGAGCTCAGGGCTGGACTCCTTCCCCATTCCATGGAGTGGCATTCCCCTCCTGTGGTGGATGGGTCACTACCAGTATCTCAAAGCAATCGGCTGTGCACAGATCCTGCTCGACTACGCCACTGTGATGGGGTGGATCACAGAAACCCCCTTGGGAGCTGCCACCTAATGTGTAAAGACTACAGCAGGCAGCAGCAGGAGGTCAGGACTAAGTAATCCTGCAGTCCTGTCTGGGCTGTGGGGAGAGGGTTCTCTGCTCCTAGGGTGTAGCACAAGTCTCTTCCAGGACACCAACAGCCACCCATCCCTCCCCCTTTTGTTAAGCTCAGGGGAACAAAACAGGGAGGGCACTGGGGTTCTTGCTGTTAAAGATTCCACTCTGTTTACACTAGGTGAGTGGACTAGACAGGTCAGCTACTACAAAATCAGTTTGCATTCCCATAGGGAAGGTCCACTGACCCTGCTCCAAGCTGCCCATGGGAGCATTTTGGACTATCTGTAGGAGTGGTGTTAGCAAAGAAACACATTGCAGCTAGGTTGCCAGGCTCGCATCTCTTTGGAGAGGAGGGAGTTAAATGCTTCTGCTCTTTCCCCATAGCAGTGTGGTTTAAGGTTAAAAGGAGCTGAAGTCCAGGCCATCACCCACTTGGGAATGAAAGGAGGGAGGGTATTGAGCTTGTCTACACATGCAGTTATTCAGGAACAGCTATTGCACTTGGAATCTACACCCTACCTTAATCCAAATCAACTTTTAAATGTAGACAAGCCCTAAGGCTGTGTCTATGCTGAGCTAGTACACGTTAGACAGAGGCATTGTTACCACTGTCACTGGAGTATAATGGCTTAGTGCATTATCTAAGGGAAGTGTATACTCTAAAATGCACAGTGCAAGTAGCTGCATCAGCCAAATACTTCAGGAACTAGGCTTGTTTTCTTTCCTTGCTTTTGTCAGTACAAAGCAGGTTTGGTCCTTTTTATTATGCTGCTGTTTTATGCATCAGCCAGACTTCAGCATGCAAAATTAAACCATCATTGCTAGAAAAGAGCCATATTAGTCAGAGCCCAGCAACAGCTGGCTCCCTATGCGATTGCAGAAGAGGAATTCACATGCAGTGAAAGAAAGATCGCTAAATATTACATGACAATTCCATCCTGTTATGTGCCTTTCCACACTTCACTGAGATAGCTTATCCTCCCAGATTTGTCAACATGTTGGGAAAATAGGTTCTGGCGTATAATACAAGTTGCCTGTGTTTCCCTAGGTGACATGGTATTGCAAAGAGGCAGATAGAGGCGCTACTCCATGATCTCCCTTGAATGATTTAGGTGTTTGCGTTTCCTAAAAGCAATTTGGCTTGGGAGTGCTACACTGGAAATTTTCTTCCTTCAAGGCACTTATCTTTCCCTCCTGTGATGCTGCTGCAGTAAAAACATATTGAGCCAGATCTTGACACCTCTCTCCCTCCCTTCCCCCCCCCCACCTCCCCGTTCTGCTTGCTTTGCACAACTCTGGCAGCATTAAGCAGGCAGAGTGCTGGCTTAAGTAACTCCCTGCTTTAGGATCATCGACAGAACACTGCTGCAATCCTCAGGTAGCAGAAGGGCCCTATAGAGGGCTGATAATAGCCAGTGCAATTTAGAGCAGCCTTGAGGTTTCTCTACATTGTGCCAAGTCATGAACTGGGGGAGGACTTGAAGGGGGTGTAACACCACTTTTCCCTCTCACCTCCACTGAATACAACTTAGCTGCTGCCTTCCCTGCAATCTTAAAGCATTGGCAATCCCCATTTTGCCACTGGAGGCAACTGAGGCACAGAGAGATTAAGTGGACTAAGGTCACACATTGAACACAAACCTGCTTTCACCACTAGACCAGGCTTCCTCCTTCGGAGCATAAGGTAGCCAGTGCCAGAACCTTAGGAGAGTTACTGAGAATGGAGTTGATTTCAGCCTTCTTCACAGCTGGTGGGTATCTCATTTAAAACAAGATGCAAGGAAGGAAAGCCTATTCACGCATGTTAAGAGATGCAAAAGGGCCCTCAGCGACTTCTGAGCTTTACAGAGAACAGAACATTTACGAAAGCACATGAGGGGGATAGATTCCAAGGCCAGCACCGACCAGTGTGATCATCTAGTCTGACTTGTGCATCACCCAGGCCAGAGACCCTCATCCAGCGATTCCTGCATTAAGCCCAGTAGTGGAATTAGTGCACATCTTTCAGAAAGACAGCGAGAGTCTTAATTTAAAGATGACAAGTGATGGAAAATGTACCATATTCCTTGGCAATCTGTTCTAATGGTTAATTACCTTTTGTGTTAAAATCATGCATCTTATTTCCAGCTTGATGTTCAGCCCTATCTTCGTCTATGAAGTTCATGTGACCGTCGGGCCCCAGCTTTAAATACGAATGAGCATTCAGTGCACCCAGGAAATGAGAATATTTGAACACAATGTTTATTTAAGAATAAAACACGTTTAAATTACTTGGCTGATTGATATAATAAAAAAAGGGTGGGGGGGTGGGGGGGGCTTCGCTGAGATGCGAACAAGAAAAAAATCCAATGGTTAAAAGCTGTTTTTTGGGTACAGAGCGATTGTCATTTGCAGACAGCAGGCGGATACCGTCAGAGGAAAGAAACAGCAGCTTGGGCTAAAAAATTTAAGATTTCTGAGTGTATCAAACCTTTCAATCATCTCAGCACTAAATTGCATCAGAGGCAATTCACTCCTCTCAATAGGCACGTTGCTACAATGGAATTTAATGGCTGTTTTGCAATTGAGAGAACGACCGGGTACAAGCTGAGCAGTATTGTTATGGGTGCTTGACTCTGATCAATTACAGTTGTTATTGATACTGTGTCAGAGACAGACAGGCTGTTTGCTAGTAAGTAAAAATTAAAAAAACCACATGGTTAGGAGCAGAAAATGTTCCTGCTGTGACCAACTTATGATCTAAAGACAGGACTGAAGAGAATAAACAGGCAGCACTGGAGTTATGCGGGATCATTAACACACTTAGAACCAGAGGAGCAACGTGGGTCTCAAATGGAGTTGCAAGAGGGGCCGAGAAGGAGTTTGAAGGTAAGAAGTCTGATGTCTAGGGGACACGTGGGAGCTACTGAAGCAAATGAAAGCGGTGACCTTTTCGGGTACCCCCCGGCCCTGCAGTCACACTAGTGGTGTTCTAAACCATTTCCTCGCCTCCCGCCATTCTCAGCACTCCTCCCAAAAGCAGTGGGTTTTGGGGGAGATCAAAACGCCTTGTGGACTAGTTAAACCCTCTTAGTGTGTCTGTTTCCACAGTGGCACCAAACTGGTTTAGACCAATCTGCTTTTTAGCCTGCTCCAACCGGTTCTTGCACCCCCATTGAAATATAGCTGTGGGGTGCAAAGTGCCCTAAGGGCTAAACTGGTTCTTACACCAGTAAATTTCTCTAGCACAGGCAAATCTAGAGGGAGCAGTCAGGAGAGAAACTTAGCTGGAGCTTAGGGCCTGATCCAAAGCCCACTGAAGTCAAGGGAAACACTGCACAGCAAGAGAGAATACTATGAGCAGAGAGGCCAGGGAGCGTTGGGTGTCGAAGAGGTGCCAGAAGTGAATATGAGAAGAAGGCAGTATAGAGACTTAAGAAAAGGGGAAGATCTTGGTTAAGTGTTTCTCCTGTGGCTCCATACCTGAAATTTTTGGCTGCTGTTACCTCCCATTGTATTAAAGTAGCTCGTAACATCATTTAAATTGGTGTACCAGGCAACCGACTTCAGCGTTGTGATAGTTAAAAGCATTTGTTGTTGTTTGTGGTACAGGTTGTGAGTTAGGGGCACATGCTTTTATCCTACAGGGATTCAGAGTAAGTAAATTACAGTACTTTAAATAGACGCCTTGAATTGATTACGAGGTTGGGTCTGATTTATAGATAAAAGGCCATAGTGACAGCTGGGTTACGATGAGAAGAATGAGCCAGGCTTGAGGTCCAACGGATGAGCTGGAAGCTAGAGAGAAAGACAGAACAGTTCCAAATAAGCAAAGGCAGTTTCATTTAGAGATCAAAACGTGAGAGTCTCAAAAGGACGAACTTCTACACTGTGACGGCACGAGTCTGCCGATCGGGGTGTGAGTCATAGTGATAGTATCACCTTGCAATTTACTAGCATCCTTCGTCCAAGGATCTCCTGGTGCTACACAAGCCCCCTAGTGATGAAGGTAATGTTGTTGTAAATGGGGAAAGCAATGCACAGAAGGACGAAAGCCCTGCGTTTTCAGAAGTGCCCGCTCAAGTGAATTTGAGATTCCAAGAAGTTGATTTTCAGAGGTTCTGAGCACCAGCAGCTCCCACTGACCTCAACAAGATGTGTGTGCTCAGCACCTCGGAGACGTGCTAAAATCAGGTCCCAAGGTATCTCCCAGTTGGGTACCCATAAATGGAAGCACCCCAATCTAGCTGATGTTCGAGGAGGAATGGCTTTCCCAGGAATCAGCGTCGAATCCAGGAGCTGTGACTTCCCAATCCCCCTCTCCCTGTTCGCGCTGCTAGATGACAATGCTCCCTCCCTCTTTAATTCCTTTAATATTCAGTGCTTCTGAAACACACGTATTTCACTGGGCTCCAAAGTCCATTTCTTTTTACAGCAGTTCCCTTCAGTCCCATTCCTCACCACTCTCTCTCTCAATTTTGCTGGTGGTTAATGGTAGAGAGGGGCCTAAACCCTGGATCTGGATCTAGTTTTTAGCTTTGTGTCTTGGGGACAGGACTATTTTTCTATTGTCTTTCCATACAGATTTAAAGGGGGGTTTGCAAGGAAGAATCCCTTTTCCCATCTGCATCACGCTGCTCGTCTGTTCCATCTACCCAGGCCCATTCCCAGCCTCCCTAAGGCAGCCCTTCAGATAGTCACCTCTGCAGCTCTTGCCATCTTCCTGCAACGTCCCAGTAACACAGCTGCACAGGGGCCCGTCGACCCTGCTCGTGCAGATCTGCTCGCAGCCTCCGTTATCCTCGCACCAGTCTAACCCTGGAACAGGAGAGATCGGGGGCTCAGGAGAGAGCAGCACGCAGTTATATGGAAAAGAGCATTACAAAGCTTAATAGCTAGAAATGACCCCAAAAGCATTTCCTTGATTAAAGCATCCGCCCCTGTTGCATTTACATCCAGCTCTAGGGTGCCATTCAGCCTGCCACTGAAGGGTAGGGGGGCTTTGATTCAGACCCACCCACGCCAATTCTTTGGACAGCCCTGCACTTAATTTAGGACCAGAGAGCCTGCTCCCACTTAAGCTCATGGCAAAATCACCAACCCCAAGTGCACTGATCAGTGCAATCTCGGTTGGCCATGGGCTGGGTAAAGACCCGTCTATCAATTCTTCCTCCAGATCAGCACACAGGGGTGTGGGTTGGGGAGAAGGAGGAAAGATGAACCTCCTGCTGGGCAGGATGGTGGGGAAATGGAGAGAAGAAGTTGAGGAAGAGGAGTAGGAGGAGAAGGAAGGTGTGGTAGAAAGGGTAGTTAGGATGAAAAGGAAAACTGAGGAGGAAGCCATTCCCTAGAAGAGTTGTTCTCAACCTTTTTCCATTTGCTGACCCCTTTGGAAATCTTAGACATAGACTGCAGACCCCAAGGGGCTGTGGACCACACAGGTTAAGAACCACTGCCCTAGAAATCACCACAGTGGGTGCTCAGCATTTCTAATAATGAGACTCCCTCTCTAGTTGGACACCCAAGGACTGAGATGCCTAGAGCTGGTGGATGCTTTTGAGAAGTTGGGTCCAGGGTAAGAGATGCCTTAGGCATACATAGGATAAAGAGAAGGGGAAGGATGGATGGGCAGACACACAGCGTGGGGTTTTGGGGGAGAAAGTGGCTCCACGAGGGACTCTCTCTCCCCTAGGAAGTGATGTACAGAACTAAAAAGAGTTGCTAGCTCAGAAGAACCCGAAAGTGAAACTGACCATGCACCCAAAAGTGAAACTGACCAGCTGAGTTTTAGTGCCCTGCTACATAAAATGTACATGTAAAAATAGTAAAAACAAATGGTGAAAACTGAACCATTAAAATGGGATGCTTCCCACTGTAATAAATTCAGATGGGGTTATTAACACAAGGGAAGGACCTGTTTCTTTTGAGCTTGTGCATTTAATAATCAAAGGTTCAGAATAGTTTATACAGGAGGGAATATTTTCCGCCGCATTCTTAGCCGCGCACACTTACGCTTTCTCCGGATGGGCCCTACCGAGATGATCTGCTCCTTGGGCTCTTTGGTATACTCAGCCGCCATCCTGGAATTCTGGGGGCAGTTCTGAACAAACAAAAACGCAAGGGGCGATTACTGCAAGGCTTTGTGGTTACGGTGCGCTACTCTCTGATCTCAAACCCTAGATTTGGCCCTGTTCCCATTGAGAGCTATTGCACAGGTCCCATTGAGGCCTCAGCAGTGTTGGATTAGCATCATTAAAGGAAAATTCTGGCCCTTCTCTGATACAATGGACCTGAACTTGTTCTGCGGGGTGGGATTCCATGTAGCCTAATTGCACAGGGGCAAACCACGTGCCAGGCTCTGGGAGGACAGGGGAGTGAGGAGAGAAATGTTATGTTGATCTATTGGATTCCTTTGGAGCAATGCCCAGCAGTAGCCCCCAGGAAACTGTTCTCCTGCCACACAGTGGCCTTGGGGAAATGATTCCAGCATGGACCACCACCGCGGCCCACAGAGCACGCTAAGGCCACGCACACGTACTATTTTGCAGGAGTATTGTTCCGAGTCACAGAGGGAGACGGCGCAGTGGAGATGAACCTCGTCGTAATCCCCGATGAACTTGAAGACGGTGACGTGGAAGCGACAGGTCAGGGATACCCCGTTCTCCTCAATCCCAATGGTGTTATCCTTAATATTTTGGCAACTAGGAGGAAAATACAGAGTCTCAGCTGGGTCCAGGAACAGTTGCAAGCTTCTAAAAAATTCTACAGATCCCCAATGCTTGTGGGTTATGTCTACAGGGAAACTAAATGATCCTTTTCTCTAGATGTTCCTTGAACTTTGTGGGAGGGGAGCTTGAACTCCCCCTTATGAGCCCTCTCAACTCTGGAGTGTTCAGAATCCGAGCCCCAATTTGGCAGCTCGAGGCCACGCCTTATTAAAAAAAACATTTCCCCTTTACCGTCCACTGCAGTGATGTAAGTAAACTGAGGTAATGCCAAGCTATTCTGATTGCTAATCAACTTTGAATTTCTACAGCTCCTGCCATCCTAGGATCCCAGAGCCTTTCCACCAGTAATTAATTACGCCCCGCGACATTCCGGAAGCGCTGCGGGGTTACCCGACTCGCCCTCGTCATACAAGGATTCAGGGGTGGAAGCAGATGTACAATGTGTTCTGTTCCCAACCTTGCCACTATCCTGATGGCATAGAAGTGTCCATTGGCTCTGCATGCCCAATCTGCAACACTTGGGGCTCGATTTTCAGAGGGGTAGAACTCACAGGCTCCCATAAGTTCAATAGCAGCTGGGTGAGCTCAAAACTATCTGAAAATCAGGCCCTCCTGGATGTCTTGTGTTGGGCATCCAAATTAGTGGACACTCAAACATTTAATCCCTTCTCTTTTGTGCACCAATTTCTGCATCTGCCATATGAGGGTAATGCCGCCTTGCCAAACACCTAATCACTCCTGGATGAAAAGTGCTATCTAAGTGCAAAGCTTTAGTTATCAACTCCAAATGCGGGTGGTAACATATTAAAACTGTTAGAATTTCTCCCAATAATAATCCACAAATGGGCCAACATTTAACCGGGTATACTGATGTCTGCAAACATCTGCCTGCCTAGGGGATAGCATGGAGCCCAAGTTCTCCATCACTAGTGCTAGACGTCCAACTGAAGCCTTCTTCTAGGTTCTTAAACTGTGCTCTTCAGCATGACACTTGAGCACCTCTGGCCTTTCCCTTAGGATGCTAGGAATAGCCACAGAGGTACAAATCAATGGCCTTTCTCTTTTGGTATTGAACAGCAGACTTTAGTGTATGCATCAGAGGAAGAAAAAACCCTCCTGTAATGTTCATAGGTTCAGATCATCTGGTGCTTTACACCAACCAATGATTTTTAGATCCCCAAAGAAAAGCAAAACAGAGAGAAAAATCTTGCCAGATGTCACTGACCCTCCTTCAATGATGAAGTATCTGAGTTTGTCATTGCTGTCCCGAGAAGGGGTTGCATAACATTTGTTTAGCGTTAGAATCAGGTGGGTGGAATCTGCCCCGACAACGAAGACCCCGACATAAAGCACGTCCCGGGTGGTTAGAACCACTTCACCCTGCCGGTAGGGGTGCTTGTAGGAGGAGTTTTTGTACAATGCCATCTTGGTTGTGAAACTGCCTTCTTGTGTTGGGACTGTCAGGTTAATCACACTAAAGGAGAGAAATAAAGCTCATGAGAAAGCAACAGAAAGCTCGTCCTGTACAATGGGGGAGGGGAATGGATAGGGTCTGAGGGACAGGGACCAGGAGATGGAGCTTTTCATATCTAGGTTGATAGTTTGAATACTGCAAAACTGAAAGTTACCATCCAATGAACGTTTGGTGGCTGATGTGACCCCAGTTTGATTTTTCTCAATCCCACAACTGCCACCATAATTATCATCGACTGGCAGCTTATAACAGAGGCCAAAGGCTGAATGGGCCATGCAAATTCCCTGAAAGTGTCCCCTACAGATCAAGGCTGAGACACGTTGGTGGGGCAGCATGAGCGAAGCTAGCCCTCCACGGCCCATACTGTCCTTGTACGGTGGATTCATAATTTAAAGACCATTATGATCATCTAGTTTGACCTCCTTCATAACAGAAGCAAAGGAATTTCACCCAGTAATTCCTGAATCATGCCCATATCTTATGGTTGAGCTAGAGTACATTTTTTACAAAAAAACCCCACAAAAATCCTTCCATTCTTGATTTAAAGACATTAAGTGATGAAGAATCCACCACATCCCTTGTGGGGTGTTGGAGTTAGTTACCCTCACTGTTAAAATTTCTAGTCTGAATTAAGCTAGCTTCGTTTCCAGGTTAAATAGAGGAGACTTTAGCCTCCAGGCTCTCAGACCAGCATTAAATTCGCACACACAGGCCGGCCTTACCTTAGCATTGGCCTCACTACCGAATCCAGAGAAATTTTGATATCAAGCTCATACGCGCATGAGAATTCCACATTGATGGTTCGGTCCCGGGTGATTATGTTTCCAGTGTTGTTTGCACTTTCAATCCACACAGTGTTTTTGTACATGATATGAGTGCCGTTGGACTGTGCAGGAGAAAAAGAAACAAATATTATTCTTTTTAGGGGTTAACACAGCCATCACGATTTCAGTTCACAGCTCTGAAAGCAGCACATTAAAGTCATTACGTAAACAATAATTTCCAAACAGATTGTGAACTGTTTGGGGGCAAGGATGGCTTTTTGTTTTATATTTGTGCAGCACCTGGCACAGTGGGGCCTTGATCCCTGACTGGAGCTTTTGGACATTGCAGTAATAGATTATAAATAACAATAATAAATTAGCTTGCATCTATCTGCTAGACTAAAAAAAGACTCTAAATGTGTACAGAGGTACATATGTTACATTTATAACAGCATCATTCAGCATAAAAGATCCCAATGCAACATATACACACTACACGCACCATTGAAATGCAACCACCTCTGGGGCAGAACACGTCATCTATTTAACAGCCCTCACGAATACCACGTCCCGGTGAAATATCCAGGGAAATTTTAAGTAGGCAAAATTTAAGCACCCAGTCTGGAATTTGGACAGTACACAAGCGCTAACACCTTATACCTTCTGCCATGCACACAAATGTGTTTGGAGCTGCCTATTAGAACACAAAGACAGAAAGAAAGAACCCCCACTGTGAAGAGTGTGTATGTGATCATCCCCTAATGTAATTTAACGAAGCACTGAAGCATTCAGCCATCGTGACATTTGAGCTCAAATAATAAACTTGACACCAAAATGAATGCATGTTTCTCTCTCTCCTTTCTTTGCTGTTTGGTTCTGTTCCAAGGCATGTGTTTCCACATATCACCCCAGCAGCATCTACGTGGTAACCATGCACCATTAAACATAAGCCGCCTCCCCCACTCCTCTCTCACCTGCACAATGTTTCCGCAGTTCCCCTTGGTGTTGTTGATCTGGAAGGAGATGAAGTCTTCTCCTTCGATGCCGGGGCAGTGGCGGTCATTCACGCGCACGCCTTCTCTCTCAAAGCCCAGTTGGAAGAGCTTGCACTTGGAGATGGACACTTCCATCTGGGCCGCTTTGCAGGTCACCTCTGCATCAATGATGTCATGCGTGTCTAGGAGCAACGCAGGCGGTTTTAAAGGACGCTAACAATTGAGAGTCGGCATTGAGCTGGCCAATCAGGAGGGGATGTTCTGGGCACATCAGTATTAGAAATTACAGAACTGCCGGTTATTGTAGCATCAGGAAAGCTGGAACCAGTGAGGGATGTGTAGAATAGGGATGGATCTGAACCAGAACACCAGATCTGACAGTCCCACCTACCGCACTGACTTTGGGAAAGTCAGATCCAGATCTGGATCTAAACTCGTGACTCTGGCCCCCCACTACAGAAAGGATGTGGAGAAATTGGAGAGAGTTCAGCGGAGGGCAGCGAAGATGATTAGGGGTCTGGGGCACATGACATATGAGGAGAGGCTGAGGGAACTGGGATTGTTTAGTCTGCAGAAGAGAAGAGTGAAGGGGGATTTGATAGCAGCCTTCAACTACCTGAGGGGGGGTTTCAAAGAGGATGGAGCTCGGCTGTTCTCAGTGATGGCAGATGACAGATCAAGGAGCAATGGTCTCAAGTTGCAGTGGGGGAGGTCTAGGTTGGATATTAGGAAAAACTATAGCACTGGAATGGGTTCCCTAGGGAGCAGGGCTGGCTCCAGGCACCAGCCCACCAAGCTTGTGCTTGGGGCGGCACCTGGAGGGGGGCGGCGTGGGACGGCGCCCCGGCTCTGGCCGCCGGGGAGAGCGGGGCCGCAACTGGGCTCGCCGCCCTCCCCCGGTGCTATACAATGGACACTATACAATGAACTGATCAGCTGCCACCTTCCACCCAGAGGTGGCTGCATTTCACCGGTGCACGTGGAACTGCCTCCCCCTTGGCCAACATATTAGGGCGGCTGATACGGGATAAAAGCTGGTACATAAATGTCAGTTGTTGTTACGATTCGTATTGTGATAGCTCCTAGGAGCCCTACTCATGGACCAGGAGCATGCTGCACTCGGCACTGGACAGACATAACAAAACCACCACCCCAAAGAGTTCACTATCTAAGTATCCTTACCCTTGTTATACAAATGAGGAAACTTCGGCACAGGGAAAGGACTTGCCCAAAGTCACGCGCTGAGTCTGAAGACTAGAAGTCCTGACTCCCCGGGCACCGGCTATAACCACCAGACCATACTCTCCTAATCTCCAAGCCTTTTCTGGAGTCTTATTATTTATTTTGTTAACTGAATGTTATTTGTGCTGCCTTCAGAGTTCCATTATTTGTGCAAAATAGAGCAAGGCAGATTAACTGTAACTTCATTAAGATGGATATGTTTGGTGCTTAGGAGTGTGCATTTGCATAGATTACCAGCTCTGGTGGTGCGAAGCTGCTGTGACTGCACCCCGTATGCCGCCTCTTACGCATGCTACATGGGTATGAGTCCCTACCGACGTTCCTATGTGCTGGCTACTCTTCTGCATCGTTGCGCCAGCCGGTCTCGATGATGACACTCTGAGAAAAGTCGCTAAGGTTTCCTAAAAGTTCTTGGCGTCTCGATCCTGTCCTGCAGCTTAAGCTGTCTTGATGCTTCTTTGCTCTTGGAGTTCTGACAACAAAACGGGTCTGAGACTTCGGGACATCTGGGTTCTTTTCTCGACTCTGCCGAAGATTTACTGGGTGACCTTGAAAATGTCACTTAACTACTCTGTGCCTCAGTTTCCCCATCTCTAACATGGGGGTAGCATTTCCCTACCTCCCAGGGTGGGGAATTAATTCAATGTCTGGAGAGTGCTTTCAGATCCTCAGATGGAAGGACTAAGGGATGGGCAAAGTGACTTCATTTGGAAGAGCTTTGGATAATGCTTTCGTAAAGGTTATTTGCATGGGGGGATTGATAGGACACAGCTCAGACCCTCTGTGCTGGCCTAGGCGGTTTTTGGGAAGTGGTGATTTTCTCTAGGGATGTATCTATGAGCAGATCCGGGGGGGCATTAGCCACCCCTTGACACATCTGTTTCTGTGTCTCTTCCCTCAGGGGAGGCTGGTTTGTACGGAGGGCTGGGGTTCTTTTCTCACCTAATCCCTTTCCTATATTAGCCAGTTTTAAGTTTGCATTTGTCGTGTTCTCGCCTACCTTAGACTGAGCACGTTTTGCACAGTCTGTGCCATTAATGTCACTCGAGCTGGGGAGGGGAATGCACGCGCAGTACAGAAGAAGGGTCAAAAGAAGCTTGCAAAATCCAGTGCCTCTGAACCCTGTTAATGGGTCGGCTGCTCCCCATTCCCCATAACTGCAAGGTGAAGAACAAAGCTGAGCAGGTGTTCGTTGCCAGTGAACTTAGACGACAAGCAATTTATATCCATTGATTGAGGAGGAGAGGCCTGGGCAAAATTGATTTTTGATTTTTAAAAATGTATGCGCGTTTGTATGGAAATTAAGTGAGGCTCTGGGGCTCCCAGAAAGTTGAAAACAAGGCTGACTGAAATAGCAGAAAATATGCCATTGGAAACGCTCCTTCATTGGCCCTCGATGGAAAGACAAGCTGAATTAATAGTAGTTTGCAATATCTAGGACTGAATCCTCATGTGGTGTAGATCTGCATAGTGTCACCAAAATCAAAAGAATTATGCCAGTTTACATCTACTGAGAATTTGCCCCTGTACTTCCTTGATTGCATGAAAGTCTGCTCCAGGCAGGAGTCATCTTTCAGCATAGACAGGCTGTGTGATTTGTCTATGGCTACTAGTGAATTTCTGGTTTTGGTACATGGTATGTTATCCCACACACTAACGTGTTGTGTCTATGTAGTATTGTCTGGTTTTGTATTGTCCGGTCTTGCAACTTTGACAAGTCGTAAAATTGCATCATTCCATAATTTTATTGGAAATTGCATGAAGCATGCAATATTTGGAAACATGTATGAGCTGTAAAGTCATTTACCTTTTTGTACTTTTCATTGTCAATCAATACAAATCACCAAAAAAAAAAATCTCAATTTTTACCAATGGGACCAGATTTTAGATGCGATCTGACATGTTGGGAGTTACAAATCAACCCAACACCACCTTGCTCTTCTACAGCACACTCCATTTGAAGATCTCATAACGCTTTCCAAACATTAGTGACTTTAGGCTCACAACACCCACGTGAAGCAGGTATCACTAGCCCTATTTTACAGATTGGGAAACTGAAGCATAGGGAAGTGACTCGCCCAGGGTCACAATGCAAGTCAGTGGCAGGGACATGAATAGAACCAAAGAGCATTGACAAGCAAGTAGCCTTGACAACCAAGTCCTGGTACTTTAACCACAAACACCTTTCCTCCCTAGTGTACTGTAGCTCCACTGGATTTGAGGTTGGAACTTTGTGTGGGTCTGAGTGGGAAGTGGTTGCTGAAGGAGTTGGCTTATCTGTGTCCCATATAAATAAGTAAGGCCGATTTTTAACTTAGTTAAAAACACCAGAGCCAATGGTGCAATTAGCTTCCTGAAACACGGAGTGGATGCCTGTGGGGTCACTCACTGTTTCCATAGGGTGGAGGTTCGATACAACCGCACAACTCCCCTCCGTTGTCAAGCTCACAGCTTCTGTTGGGACAGTCGGCCCCCACACAGGGATCTTCAACCACTCCTGCTAAAAAGGAAAAGGCAGACGAAGACAACAACTTTATTTTCAGACCAATACCCAGACAATTCTTTATTACCCCACTAAACCCCTGCAGTGTTGGTAACTCCAGCAATTTTATCTCATGCTATTTGATGGGTTTTTTAAAGCTCCAGCTCCTGGAGTCATGTGAATATATGAGAATATCAGCTTTCCCTTTTAAAAAAAAGTAAGTTTCTAGCCCTCCTGGTTGCAGAGAAAAGCTTGAAAGCATGAAATGATTTTGACCTAAAGGCTCAGGAACTAGAAGGCTAAGGTACTCCCGTATTATTTTTAAATGAATGTATATATTTTTTTAAAATCTCATGATTATTAAGCCAATCTCATGGTTTCTTGGGGCTGGAATTGTGATTTTATGAGTACTTGACGTTAACAATACTGTCCTCAAAGTCCTTACTCAGTCGAGGACTGGACTGGCATCAGACTCCCACTGAGAAAGTTCCCACAGCATGGACCAATATTAATAAACAATTTATTCAGCCTGCGTTTCTGAGTACTTTACAAACAAAGCATCAACCCAGACTGTTTGGATCATTCACCACCTACCCATAAAACACCAGCGGGAGAACATCTCCAATGTCCTTAGCCCTAGGTTAGGCAAATGCTTGCCACAGCCAGTATGCTTTGGAGGTGAGCATGATCCAGTTGGGGTGGACTACTAGGGGGAGCATGTTGCTTAATTGAGGAGCCTCCAGAGACAGTGTCTTGTCTGTAGAGCTGGTTAGAGAATGAAATTCCCCCAGCCCCGAAAATTTCCACTTTTCAGCAAAAACTTGAAAACCAAAATATGTGTATTCCAAAATGTTACCTATGTGCCTCATGGGAGTTGTAGTTCAGGAACCTCATGCTCCCTTTCTCCTTTATAGGCCAGGCTCCCTGGTCAGACTACATCTCCCATGATGCACCATGGTCTCCCACTTATGTTGGTGAAAGGTTGCATCACAGGAGTCCTTATCATGGTGCATCATGGGAGATGTGGTCTAGCTGGGGAGCCCAGCCCACAGAGGAGAAAGGGGACATGAAGAAACCAAGCTACTGCTCCCATGAGGCCACCGCAGCAGGATATCTGAAT